AACTGATCTTAGCACAATACAAAAACCTGGGTTTGATACCAAATATACTGAGGAATATTGGTGATCATCTGTATGATAGATGTGATAAAGTCAGTATGCATTTTTATTTTCTGAAATAGAAAATGAATAACCCATTTTTCTATAAAATGAGTTGATAATGTTGATGCACACATTTTCAGTGTTTGTTGCTGGTTATACTGAAGCTGCTGCTGTTCTCCTCCTGAACAGTAAGGGTTGCTACTGAGAAAATACTGTTAAACAACAGGAACTGGGACCAAAAGAAGACTTGTTCATTTAGACCTGGTCCCAGTACTCGCACTCCCACCCTTGTGTACTTCAAATGCCTGTTCCCGCTGAAGGGTTCGAGTGCGTAATGTGTCAGTGGTCTTTCGCACTGCCCCCTTTGTGCCCTTGATCCACACTTTGGCCAAGCCAGCATTCAAGCAGACTTTGGCGAAGTGTATTACCAACAATTCATAGCTGCACGTGACGTTTTRAATTAAGACAGAAATATGGCAATGTTTACTGAGTCTAGTGGTGGTGGTAATGCACTTACCCTAAATTAGTCTGCAAACCACCAATAAAATCAAAAGAAGAATGTCTACCGAGCAAGCTGGCGAGGGTCTTGTCTAAATGCCTCCTTCGGTTCATTCGCTTTCTTCTCCAAAAATACGATTGCTTGTTGTAGTTGTACTGCTAAAAATGATGCCAAAACAGCCATCAGTCCTGCCATTTTAGATGTCAGCATTACGATGCAGAGGCTCAAGTCAATGACGTTACAAGTACTGTCCCAATTCTCCAATTTTTGCATGCGTGAACCTGTATGTGCACTTGGACTGAGTGCACACTTCATAGAGGGGTGTAGGGTGTAGTGAGAGTACTGGGACTAGGGTTGGGCAATATTGGCAAAAAAATTAATCATGATTAATTATGGTATTTAGTCAATAACAATTAATTTGACGATTAATCCCTAAAGTCCCCTTATGTCCTGGTCACATGACCAATTTAGTGGGTTAGATCTGCTCTTCTTAAAGATCTGTTCCAAATTGTGTCAAAATTACAGTCTTCAGGCTATAGATCAATTTTTAAATTGTGTTGATAGATAAATAGATTACAGAACTTTTTTAAATGTTCATCCTATTTTAAATGGAGATTAGCACCGAGCGGTGGCATTAATCGTATTAATCGTCAAGTGCCAAAAAAATAATCGATTAATGTTTTTCTGACGATTAATCGCACACTATACGCTTATGCCCAACCCTGACTAGGACTGGGCCTAAAACACACGAAAATAAAAGAAAATTCATTGGAACAAAAACATGAGTCTCATGTATCAAGATTTAATCCCAAGACTGCATTGGTACATGGCAGCTCTACTGATCCACTCACAGTGTGCATAGCCATGAATCTGTTTATCTTCATATTACAATGTGAGGAGTTTGACAATATCCCTTCAAAGCATTCTGAATTCTCAATATGGTTACAAATTTCCAGTATTTGTAAGTAAACCGTATCAAAGAAATACCGTTATTGTACCAACATCAGCAACTTGAGATTCTACTGTCTGAATCATTTTTATTGACTGGTGTCTATTTTTGATTTATATTAACTTGAACTGGAGAAAGTTCAGAGAACTGGTATTCCAACTAGGGATGCAAACAATTAATTGATTTACGATTAATTGTCGATAATGGTTTATTAGATTAAAGTTTATTCCATTCGATTAATTGAAAATGTCCATTTAAACCTTATTTYGGTGTAGTTTTGACTTCATCCAGCAGAGCGAGCTGCTGCTCTACCCTGGCCCAGTTGAACTGTGAGCAGCAGAAAGCTGTCTCAATAATGTGGGTGGGACCGCAAACGCTTGAGTCTTATGCTGCGTTCACACCGAACGCGATTTCAGCTTCAAAATCACAGCCAATGCTCAAGTTGGTCGCTTGTGCACTTTGAGGTCAGACGCAGGTCAGCTCTTGAAGCGTTGCACGGGAAGAGCCTCCCCGCCCCTCCCTCCTCTGTCGGGCTCTGTTTAATGTCGGACGAGGAAGTGGCTTTGCTTTATTTACAGAGAGCAAGAGCATGTCACGTTCATCAGATAATTAATTCATAATTAATTCAATTCAATTCAATCAATTGAGTTTCATCACCCAGGAGCTGCGGGAGAAGCTCACAGCTCGCTTTCAGGACTATTTTTGTCCCGAGTCCAGTCTGATGAGT